AATGTCTTTTACTTCCATAGAATTGGTAGTCATGTGCCCACTTTTGGTTTTAACTTCAGTTCGTCCCGCTAGCCACAGGTTTGTTGATTTTGTTAATTCTTTTGAAGAATCAGCTCTTGGCTTTGTTGAGTTTCTCTATTGATTTTCTGGTTTTTTATTTATCTTTGTTTCATCTTTTACTGTTTTCTCCTCCTGCTAGCTTTGAGTTTAATTTGTTCTTCTCCTCTTAGTTCCCTAAGTTTTAGAGTAAGGTTGTTGATCTGAAATCTTTTTTTTTTTTTCTAATGTGAGCATTTACAACTCTACATTTCCCACTGAGTACTACTTTTGCGGTGTTCCATAAGCTTTGATGTGTTTTCGTTATTATGCATCTGTATGCATTTTCTCTTTTCCCCTGTTACTTCTCCCTTGACACATGCATTTAGAGCATGCTGTTTAATTTCCCCATATTTGTCAATTTTCTATTTATCCTTCCATTATTCATTTCTTACTTAACCCCACTGTGGTCAGGAGAAGATACTTAGTATGATGTTGAGACTTAATCTGTACCCTAAGATACAGTATATCCTGGAGAATGTCCCATGCATGCTTGTAAGTAAGGACTACTCCGCCATTGTTTCTGAGGGTTCTGTATATCTGCTAGATCGAGTTGGTTTATTATGTTTGTCCAAGTCCTCTATTCCCTTACTTATTTTCTGTCTAGTTTTCCTAACCACTACTGACAGTGGAGGGGGGTAAGTCTCTGTTACTACACAACTGTGTATTTCTCCCTTCACTTCTACCAAGTTTTACTTCACATAGTTTGATGGTCTATTATTAGATGTAAAAAGACTTGACAATTGTTACATTTTCTTGCTGTATTAAAACTTTTTTTAGAGATTTTATTTATTTATTTATTTGACAGAGAGAGAGAGATCATAAGTAGGCAGAGAGGCAGGCAGAGAGAGAGGGGGAAGCAAGCTCCCTGCTGAGCAGAGAGTCTGATGTGGGGCTCGATCCCAGGACCCCGAGATCATTACCCGAGCCTAAGGCAGAGGCTCAACCCACTAAGCCACCCAGGTACCCCTAAAACTTTTTAAATATATGGTATATTTCTTTTTTTGATTAAAGTCTATTTTGTGTGATATTACTATAGCCACTTCTGCTTTCTTATGGTTACTATTTGCACGGGGTATCTTTTTCCATCCCTTTGTTTTCAATTTATTTGTATCTTTGGATCTAAAGTGAGTCTCCTGTAGACAGCATATAATTGGGTATTTTAATCCATCCTGATCTTTAAAATTTTTATTTATTTATTTGACAGGGGGGTGGGGTAGGGAAAGAATGAGTGGGGGAGCAGCAGGCAAAGGGAAAGGGAAAGGGAGAAGCAGGCTCCCTGCTCAGCAGATAGCCTGACATGGGGCCCGATCCCAGGACTCTCAGATCATGACCTGAGATGAAGGCAGATGCTTAACTGCCTTCCACCCAGGTGCCCCCATCCTACTGATCTTTTGATTGAAGAATTCAATCCATTTACATTTAAGAAAATTGCTGATAAGGAGGGACTTACTTCTGTATTTTACTATTTGTTTTCAATAAGCTTTATAACCTTTTTTTGTTCCTCATTTGCTGCATACTGATTTTTTGTGTTTGGTTGAGTTTTTTATACTGAAACTTAATTCCTTTCTCATTTTTTTTTTCTTTTACTATATTTCTTTAGAGAGAGAGACAGGAGGGAGGTGCAGAAAGACAGGGAGAAAGAAAATGTCTGGCAGGTTCCTCAATGCCCAGCTCAGAGCCCAATGCAGGGCTCAGTCTCACAACTCTTGAGATCATGACCTGAGCCAAAATCAAGAACTGGACATTTAGCCGACTAAGGCACCCAGGTGCCCCTCCTTTCTCATTTCCTTTTGTGTATATTCTGTAGCTGTTTTCTTTGTGGTTACCATGGGGACTACACTTAACATTCTAAAATTATAATACTCTAATTTGAATTTATAGCAGCTTAAATTCAGTAGCATAAAAAAATCTCCACAGCAAGACGGCTCTTAAAAAGCAAATAAATACGGCATTATAACTTGAGATAAGGACCAAGTGCAAAAGCAGACTGCTAAAAAAACAGGCTGGCCTTTTCAGAGAGGTCAGTAAGGAGAGCCCCTCTGACGGGACACTGACCCACAGCCCTCAAAGACAGAGAAGCTAGCTTGATAAGGAGCGGGGAGAAGAGCATTTCTGAAAAAGAAAGACCACGAGTCACAGAAGAGCTTGAAGGCCCGAGAAAGAGGCCCCCATGGCAGGAATTCAGTACTGACATGGAGGAGGGAATCGAATCTAGGAGAAGCAGGTGGGCCCAGTTCCACAGCTAGACAGGGCCGTGCAAAACAGAGCCATGCAAAAATTCCCCGTTAAGTGCATGGGAAGCCACAAAAGGGCTTAGGGCTGCTTAGTAACAAAGTCCTAATTCTGTCGGTTGAAGCTCTTGCTGGCCATTCTGTGGCAAGGAATCAAGAGGGGAGAAAGTGAATGTGAAGAGCCCAGGAAAGCAGCTCCAGCAGTCACCAGGGTCTGAAATAATGATGGGCAGTCCAGGGCAGAGACGTAGAGACACAACAGGCCCCAGATGGGCCCGTGACCTTGAACAGGTGAGACAGGAGTCCCTCAGCCCTGGCTCTGAGTGCCTGCCCTGCCCTGTACTCGCTCACTGGCTGCACACCCTGATGATGGCACTCCTGGCAAGATTCCATTTCCTTCTCTGTAAGACGGAAGTATAATGAAATCCACCAGGTCTGAGGAGGGGAAGAAGGAGAAATAACCCAGCTACTCATCGCAGACGTCCACTCCTTTCCTTCCTCTCAGACACATGCCGCTGGTTGGTGCTGATCTAATTCACACACACACACACACACACACACACACACCCAGGAGAGGCTATGAAAATTGTAAGCAAACACGTGATACCCAATTTGCCCAGCTTTGAAAGTGTACCAAAGCCCAACGAGTGCCCAGGCTTGCCTTGGGGATAGGAGTCTGTCTAGATTTGGCCTCAAGGGTCCGAGCGGCAAGCGTGGGCGGGCAGGTCTCTACCCAGAGAGGCCCACATGAGAAAGTCAGGAGGGCGTGGGAGCCTGGATGTCGGCTCCCAATGACACTCCTTCCACAGCCTGCAGAGAGTATGTTGCAGGGAAGGCAGCAACTGTGCCCGCAGATTCCTTTCCAAATCCACCGAGGCTAGAGAAACAGAGCCAGTTCAGTCCTGCGGGCCCACAGTCAACCCCCTGATGGGAGAGAGCCTGGCTGGCTGGCTTCACCTTCCCGCTCACTGCACCTGGACACCTAATGACAGGGCTCCTGAGCCCGACCACAATCCCTTCCCATCCTCCTGGCTTAAAGAAGATCTCACTTCCTAACAGAAATCCCTTGGCTACAACAGCCACGGGAAGAACAGAATTCTCGGGATTTTCAAAACTTGGGTTTGAGGGCCTGGAGGATGGGAATGGTGGAAGGTGGTCTTGTTCGAAAGAAGGTACCACGTCTGCACACAGCTTGTCTTTAAACTTGCTGGATGGCAACCCCACCACGAGAGCGACAGAAACCAGCTCCCCGTGCTAAGAGTCTGTGTAAGTGCGGTCATCAGACTCAGCTCTTGTTTGCTTTCCGGCCTCATCGGACTGGCCAAGAAACCCAGAGGTGACCGGAGGTGACCGGAGAGGTCCGTTTTTGCGCACACACACCGGAGGCCCTTCGCCACAGTGGCCCCGCTCTCACTGGGTAGGCCTCATCAGGGAACATCTAAATCCCCATTTAATGGGGTTGGCCCCATATTTGCCCTCGGCAACAGGATCTGGAGCCTCCAACCTCTTTGTCCAAGCAGCGGAAAGGGCGTGGAGCCTGCTGAGTCAAAGCCAAGCCTGGGGACTGCTCGGTCCCTGTGCTTCAGTGTTACAGCCATGGGCAGCTTGAGGGCAACATCGCCACGGACCCCCCTCCGCCCACTGGTGGTACTATAGCTACCCCCATCCTGACCACAGAATTGTGGAAACAAATATCAAAGAGGAATTCTGCCTCATCACTACTTGAGCTGCCGTAATGAGTGGTTCCTCCTGGCACTGGTACTCTGGACAATTAAAAAACAGAGAAATGAAATGAGCTACAGATGAAAGAGGCTGGTGTGGAGCCAGCCCCAGCAGCTCCCCTCCTGGGTGTCCTCTGGGAAGCCCAGCAACCTGCCATTCACCAGCCACCAGGAGGACTCGGGGTTGCGCAGATGAAGAACATGTACTTCTCAGAGACCAGGGCCAGCACTTCTTCCTCCCCACGTGGTGGCCTCCTCTACCCTCACACCTGCCCCTCAGCTCAGCCCCTCTCCCCACCCCATGCTCTCCATTTCCAATGCCCCTTCTCACCTTTTCCCACTCCAGTCCCCGCTGAGCACAGCTGCGGGGGTGGTTCCTGCCTCCCTCACCCCTTTCAGCAGCCCCACTCCTCAGGACGACCTCCCCACCTGCCCCTGTCCAGTGTCCACCCGTACCCCTCAGGCTCCCCCATTCCTTCCTGCAGCCGGGTCACCCCGCCTGCCTTCCCACAACCGTCAATGTGACGGTTTCCTGCTATCCCCATTCATCAAATCCGAGGTAGACGCAGGCTTCATGGCTCCGTCCCTGTACCCACAACCAGACAACCTCTCCCCGCTCCAACTTTCCTCCAGCCCTCATGGCCCATGGCAAGAGCTGATCACACTCAAGTGTGATCCTGATTCCTTCTACTAGACCGCTGACTCCTTAGAAGAGGGACCGACTCTTTCAACTTTGACCCCCCGCCGGGAGGGGGTCCAGCACTGAGGAGAGGTCTTGGCAAACCACTGGTAAGAACGGCAGGCGGAGGTCAACCACGGCACAGACCCTAGCACTGAAGGTATGTCGGAGGGCAGGCCCTCCTCGGGGGATGGTGCTGTGTCTCCATCCCCCAGCCTGGGGAAAAGTCAAGGACACAGCCCTCATCCCGGACGGCGATGGGAGACTCACCATGTTCATGACGGTGAGAATGAACCTCTGGGCGGCCTCTGCCCCGTGGTACTGCACCATGTCGGCATCGGCCACCACCAGGGTCTCCACCGTGTGCTCGCTGGTTAGCTGGATGGCGTTCCTCCGCTCCCGCCAGTCCTGGGATGGCCTGTCCCTCCTTGGTTTCTTCTTTTCTAGAAAAGGACAGAGACATCCATGCAGTCCTTGGCATTTTGATTTCCAAAACCAGACAGTGAATCGGCCTTCTGCTGAGCCTCCCACAGAGAACGGTCAGTCTCCACTGGCCAAGAGCTGGACCTCCACCATCACAGGGCAGTGCGGGGGGGGGGGGCACACCTGCACTCACGTCCCCAAAGGGGGAGCTGAAGGGCAGAAGGGGGCTCACACCTGTCCACATCACAGCCAAGGAGGCCCACGGGACTGAGTATCAGGGAAGAGGAAACCTGTCCCATCAGAGGAGAGCGGACAGCAGCGAGAAGTCGGCGGAGGGGAAGGAAGCCCAGACCCGGTGGGGAAGTGATGAGAAGGCACCTCAGGTTAATGGCAGAGAACCAGCGAGCTTTCTGAAAGGGCTAAACCTACTTCTGACAGCTGCAACCCAGGGAGGGGGCACTCTGGCCACTGACAGTCACAAATCAGGAGCCATAAACGTTAATAATCACAAAGCATTATTTCAAAGAAGAACAAAACATCATCAGGAAAGAAAATCTCATGACATGCACATTCAGGCCAAGACGGGTTCTTTCCTGAGCCCGGGGAAGGGTCATTGCTGACTCTCTGGATAAACTCATTCCCTGTCAGATCTGACAGGGGTACGCACTCACTGTTATCGATTAGAGCCCAAATCAGAGTGGGCAACTACAAGCTGCTAGGCGAGGGCGACCCCCGCTTTGTTGGCAAAAACCCCAGTGCTAAAGGCTGATTCGAATAGCACGCATTTTCAGGAACCCAATGCATGTAAACAGAAAGGCACTTCTTAAATGTGGTAACAATTATTTCCATTTTGAGCCCTAGACCCTAGAGAAATGACTGACGTCATCTCTGCTACAATTTCCACGCGGTGAACCCAGTCTTCACATGCACAAACCGGCTTCAGAGAGTGACCTGATTCTTCCAGAGCCCAGAAAGCACACCGTGAAGCAGGTATGGGTCATCATGAACAAACAAGAGTACTCTGTGCCATATAACTTACACCTGTGAAAACCGATGAGCACTGGAAGTGTCCAAACATGGAAAAGCCAGCCACGGTGAAATGGTCTACAGCCAGGAAAGGCACGTTTGTGATGATACAGTTAAATCGCGATTTTGCAAAGATTTAGCCTACAGGTATCTTTGCCACACGCCCCCCCCCCAAAAATAAGTAAGTAGCCAGACAACCAACCAACATAGGTAGGACACACCTAAACCATGAATGGTAGGGGATATGTGATCCTCATTTTCCTTCTTTTCTCTGTATTTTCCAAGTGTATATGATGAACCAAAATTACTTTATTTGTTAAAATAATGATGTTAAGTTTGAGAAAAACACAGATGTCCCTTTCACATTCTCCACAATAATCCAGAAGGCATGAGGGAGCAAGGTACGTTATCTGATGAGCTAGAGAAAAGCAAGAGGAAAGGCATGAGTGTGCTGGTGGTGTCTCTCCTCGCCCAGAGCCAGGTCCACCTCCCAACAAGTCTTCTGGGCCTCAGCGGTGGAATGAGGGAAGAGTCCATGCTAAGACAAAAGGCAAGGTCTCCGATGGCCCTGCCTTACATGTGAGCAGAATGGAAGAGGCCTCTTGTCTCTCTAAAGAAGGTCCCTTTACACAACTAAACCCACATTCAGCAATCCGCTCATCTCGGAGCCCAAGGAGGCAGGCACACAGGTGATCTCTACATTCTGGGCTTAGGATGCTCACCTGTCTGGATCAGGCCAACCCGTCCCACTTGGGTTTTCTAACAAACCACCTTGCTCCCATTTCAACAGACCGAGGTGAAAGGTTACCAGGTAAGGGCTCTGTCGTCATGAGCACAGCCACGTGAGCACAGCCACATTCTCCCAGCCACGGGGTGCTACAGCTCCAGCTCCTGGGACGGAGCCCTACGTTGGGCTCCCTGCTCGGAAGGGAGGTCTGCTTCTCCCTCTGCCTCTGCCCCTCCCCCTGCTCACATTCCCTCACTTGCTCTCTCTCATAAATGAATAAAACCTTTAAAAAAATGCACTGTGCATCACTCTTTAAGTACAAAGTAGGACTACTGAGACCTGGACCACAGGGAGCTAATAAGCAGGATGTCCTACAGGATGAAATGCTATGGGCTGACACGTGCCCAGAATACTAAGTAACAGGTAAAACACAATGGTCAGGAGCTCTGGGTTTTGTTTTATTTTGTCATTTTTTTGTTCTGTGATTTTTAAAGGATTTTCACTATAACTATCCTGTGTGTTCCCTTCATGGCCCCCAGCCCCTGGCCTAGCATTTAGTGTGCCATAAGCCATAAATATTCACTAGACAAATGCACCCATGGACGGATGGATGGATGGACAAACGGATGGATGGATAGACAGATGGTGAGTGAGTCAGTGAATGCGTGAGTGGAGTCCCTGTTTCCCACATCACAAAGCTGAAGTCAAGCACTAAGCAGTGGTGACTTTGGTCCTTGAACCCAAAGCTACCCCCCAGCTCCGTTCTGACTCTCCCCACCTGCTCTGCCCGAGTGTACTGACAGACTCCTCGCTGCTCTCTGAACGGCAAACCTAACAGGAGGAGGGCTGAAGAAAACTCGGTAGGAAAGGGTTCTGGGTTGAGCATCATGAAATCGATGCCCCTGCTTCTGCTGCTGCAGGACCTACCCAGGAAGAGGGGGCACAGTTCTGAGCAATCCTCACTGACCGTGCTCCTTCTGCTCAGAGGGTCTCTGGCTTGTTCCCGGCCCTCCAGCAGCTACCCTGTAATTATCCCTCCCAGCTGCCCAGGGCCCGCCATCAGGCTGCCTGTGCTCCCCTCGCTGAGCGTTGCTACTTGGGGCTGTCAGGCCAGACCCGCACTGGGCCGGCCGGTGATGCGCACCTCAGCGCCCTGTCCTGTGAACTCAAGGGATGAGGCGGGAAGCCTTGATTCAAATACCTGCGGCCCAATGGGTTTCAGGAATTCAGAACTTTTCAGATTTTGCAAGGCAATCCGGTGGGCATGCCACATAATGAATACCACTTTCAAATGAGGTCTGGGGCACCAAGCTATTATCGAAAGGCTCTACTATTTCTGCAGCGAAATGAATAAATGAGGGGTCAAGAAAGATGCTTGTTAGCCTCACTTCAGGGCAGGTCAGACCTTCCACAAAATGAGTGTCAAAAGTCCTAGATTTGGTGGGACACCTGGATGGTTCAGTGGGTTAAGTGTATGCCTTCGGCTCAGGTCATGATTCCAAGGTCCTGGGATTGAGTCCCACATTGGGCTCCCTGCTCAATGGGGAGCCTGCTTCTCCCTCTGCTCTTCATCTCATTTGTTTTTCCTCTCCCTCTCTTTCTTAAATAAATTTGAAAAATCTTAAAAAAAAAAGGGGGGGGCGCCTGGGTGGCTCAGTGGGTTAAAGCCTCTCCCTTCGGCTCAGGTCATGATCTCAGAGTCCTGGGATCGAGCCCCACATCAGGCTCTCTGCTCAGCAGGAAGCCTGCTTCCTCCTCTCTCTCTGCCTGCCTCTCTGCCTACTTGTAATCTCTGTCAAATAAATAAATAAAATCTTAAAAAATTTTTTTTAAATCTTAAAAAAAAAAGAATTCTATGTATTTATGTAAGCTACCCTAAGTCTTCTTTAGAATAAGAGGAGAAGAGAAAAACACAAAAAACTAAGGGCATTCTAAATGTAATGTTTTTAGAATATTCACACTATTACTGAATCTAAGAATTTGGGGACTACTAAAAATGCTCAGCAAACACATAAACTGTCATTTTAGTTATGAGTTTTGCTCATGGCAAAGTAAAAAAGAAATCCCAAAATTGCAGTTGTGAATTATCAAGCTCTGTATGACACACATTTCTTTAGTTTAAAAATAAAGAGTCTTTAGACATATACCAGAGAAATAACACACGGATCACATAATATTTGGTGTGAGAGTTCAAGAGCCAGAAGAATTACTCTGTGATTCTACCCATGTCATTTCCAGGGAAGACCTCAGGTCACCTTCATACAAAGAGAGAGGAAAAACAAGCCTGTGCCAGCTGCAAAGGCAAGTTAGAAAACAAATAGAGGACACGGGGGCAGCTGCCCAAGGGCACTGGGCCCTTCGAGACCAAGGACAGAGGGCGCTTCAGGCCACGAAGTCCAAGACTGTGCCAATGCTAGGAATTAGTTCCTGAGTGTCCAACATACTTACAGAGTTAAAGGAAAGATTCAGACTTAAACTTGTCGTCATTCAAGCCAGTAACATAAGCTTTCCCCACACACAGCACTGAAGGTCCAGGGGCACAGGAGACCGGGAAGAGTCTAGATCCAGATGTTCACCTAGCCGCCCTGACTACAGCTTTTCCCCAGCTCTCCTAAGGACAGGGTAAAGGCAATCCTATCAAAAACCCTTGGTGCCAGGGGTGCTTGGGTGGCTCAGTAGGTTAAGCCTCTGCCTTCGGCTCAGGTCATGATCCCAGGGTCCTGGGATTGAGCCCTGCATCGGGTTCTCTGCTCAGCATGGAGCCTGCTTCCCCCTCTCTCTCTGCCTGCCTTTCTGCCTACTTGTGATCTCTCTCTCTCTTTCAAATAAATAAATGAAATCTTAAAAAAAAAAAATCCTTGCTGCCATCGTGCTACATGGCAAAGAATTTACCTGTGGTCAGAGGAAGGACACCTGCCCCTCCTTCTCACCTGGAGACACACAGATTCTGTGATCTGTGCCCAATCCCCTGACACTCTTATAAACCCTGTGGCGAGGAACGCCTTCCCGTGCGTGCCAGTAGAGGGGTGTGCACTGGCAGGATGGTGAGGGAAGCGAGGGGAGGGAGGTCTGCACCCTGAGGGCCACAGCACTGATGACAAGATTCAAAACAGGGCTGCAGTCTGGGGCAGAGCCGAGGGAGAGCTCAGTTGCACCAGGAGCCAGGGTAGGCTCTACAAGCCTTCTGTGACTGCCTTCAAAACCAGAACCATCACACCTGCCACCCAGGTTTGCAGTGATTAAGTGAGATGCTTACTACACTCCCTG